GGGAGGGTTTTGCTCTCATTAGTCACTGGTTCCCTCCTCTGCACAGGGCCCCAAATAGCACAAATAGCTGCTTGCAGAATTCCTGGTAGAAACATTTGCTGGGTAGAAAAAAAAATGCTGTTTTGTCAAAATTTTGTCTGTATGAATAATATCTGATGGAGAAGTTTTGAAAGATTCATGTCGACTTGTTTCGTTTCAACAATGTCAAAACATTTGATTTGGATGTTCTTGTTTAGTTTTGACTTTTATTATTCTAATGTGGAAGTGATTTTTTGCTTTAAACATTCATCAGGAGAAACGGTTCAATCTTATTGAAGTAGCATGTTTTGATATTTCCAAATCACTCTTTTTTTTTGTCATTTTCTTTTTTTTTTTTTTTTTATGTTTTTTTGGAACTTCTGCCCTGCTAAATATTTCATGGATTTTACTATGAAACGCAGGAACCAGGGGGATTTTTTTTTTCTCTCAGGTCAGAAAATGGAATTGCTGAATAAATTCCATTTTCCTGACCTCTGTAAGGTAACAAAATGTGTGAGCTGTGGTTTGCCTGCTGCTAACAAGGAAATGTGCTCTGATTCTTCATTTTCTACCCATCTTTAACCCCCTGGTTAAAGGTCCCTTTGGCTTCTGCTGGAGCTGGAGCTGCTCCAGGATTCCTTCAGGGAATTCCTGTGTCCAGCATCCCATGGACAGTGTTGCCTGTAGGAGCTGAGAAAAAAACCCAACAACTCCAAAGCAATTTAATTGAGGATGAGATAAGAAAAGGGTTTAATTTGTGCCTGGGCATCAGATTACAATTTAGAATATTGCTTTGTCCAATCCCAAGTGTTTCCACCCCCTTGGAATTGGGGCTGAGGGGCTTTTCTTCATCATCTTCATCTTCTTCAGAGCTCAAAGTCACTCAGTTCTTGACTGTACTTTTGTGGTTCAGGCCAGGATTGGGTGTCCTCAAATAGAAGAGACCCTGCCTTGACAAGAGACTGAACATTTTCTCCTGGAATTCAGGGGATATTGATATGGGAGCATGGGATGGGGCATGTAGGGGTTGAGGAATGTGTAAACCACTGTGCTAAAGGGTAAAGGAATAAGGGCTGCTGCTTCTAAAATCTATTTTTAACTACTTATAAAGCTTATAAAAATTAGAAAAAAAACCCCCAAAACTAGAAAAATCTTAAGGCAGCAGCAGGAACACCTTCCACTAGCCCAGGCTGCCCCAAGACTCCAAGGTGTGGGAAGGGAAGGAATAACAAAAGTGGATTTTTGAGGCGGTTGACTCGCAGTGGGATCACTTTTTCTGTCAGACACAACGATAAATGTTTAAAATCACCTTGTTCCCATTTGGTCTTGTTACTACTTGAGTTTTAAAGCTGAATTTTCATTTCCTGGTAGGTACCATTGGCCTCCTGCATTTTTTTTTTTTTTGGAGAGGAATTGTGGTGGTTTGAGACCCTCCAAAAATCCAATTTCCGAGTCTAAGCCCCCCTCCCACAACTCACTGAGAGGGTTTTTCCAGACACAACACAAGACTCAATATGGGGGGAAGAGAATTATATCACACTTATTACACAACTAAATATTATAATACATTATATACACTATTCTAACTATCTCTCCTGTGATAAAGCAATATATTTACATTGGATCAAATCTCTTTTCCCTCCAATAAAAGTTCAGGAGGGAAGAAGGAAAAATCCTTTCCACTTTCAGGGCAGCAGTGTCTCTCCTTTTCAATGCAGCAGGAGTTGTTGTAGCTGGAATCTCTCTCTCCATTACAGGAATGTGCAGTTTGAACATCTCAGCTGGTTTATTTTTCATCCCTTCCCCTTAAACACTTGGATTTTCAAAGTCTGCAGGAAGAGGCATCAATCCCGACAAAGTGCTTTTCGCTGAGGAACCCATTGCACGAGAAACTTTAATATTAATTTATGTTAAATTATTTTTGGGGGGATGCTTCATTACCTGGCAGTGACTTTTTAGTTGGAGACGCAGAGAGAGCAGGAGCAGGAGCGACGTTGTGACTCGGTGCTCTAAAATACACCTGGATCCCGAGTTGCCTGGAGTCAGAATGACAATGAGCTGCTTGTTGTTATTCAAAGCAAATTGGAATATTAGATGGAGCCGTGCAAAGCTCGGATCCCACCGTTTCTCCTCCGCGGAAGGAAAAAAAAAATGTCATAAAAAGAGATTTCCAATTTGGCGCAAAGAAAGTGAAAACGGGGAGAAAAGACAGCGAGACTGATGGGAGATGATGGGGATAAAAAAACCTGCGGCCCGGGGAGGAGGAGATGAGTGTGAAGCAGATAAATAATGTGGGAACACTAAGGAGGCTGTGAAGGAATAAGGTGTTGGAGCTAATAGTGATCCAGGGCAGGGGGCCCTTTGGAAATGGGATTGTACAGGGAAGGAGATAACAGAAAATTGTGTCTGGGGTTTCTTGGCTCGCACAAAGCCCATGGGATTAGCTGGGGCTGGGCAGGGAGGGGAGGAGAGGTGACAATCCAGCAAACCCCCCTCTGTGTCCTCCAGGCCAGGGGGCCAAGGTCTGTTGGCTTCAGTGTCCTGGAAGCAGAGGCAAAGCAGGGAATGCTTGGGATTGCTGTATTTTTCATTTAGTTGGGATCATCATAGAGCACAAGTGCTGTGAGGAGAGGCTGAGGGAGCTGGGGCTGTTCAGCCTGGAGAAGAGGAGGCTCAGGGGAGACCTCCTCACTCTCTACAACTCCCTGACAGGAGGGGGGAGCCAGGGGGGGTTGGTCTCTTCCCAGGCAACTCTCAGCAAGACAAGAGGGCTCAGGGTCTTCAGCTGTGCCAGGGGAGGTTTAGGTTGGATATTAGGAAGAATTTCTTTGCAGAGAGGGTGATCAGCCATTGGAATGGGCTGCCCAGGGAAGTGGTGGATTCTCCATCCCTGGAGGTGTTTAAGGACAGACTGGATGTGGCATCAGTGCCATGGGCTGGGAACCACAGCAGGGTTGGATCAAGGGTTGGACTTGATGATCTCAGAGGTCCCTTCCAACCCAGCTGATTCTCTGATTTTATGATTCTATGATCATGGAATCACAGCCTGGTTTGGGTTGGAAGGGACCTTAAAGCCCATTCCATCCCATCCCATCCCACCCCCTGCCACAGGCAGGGACACCTTCCACTAGCCCAGGTTGCTCCAACCTGGCCTTGGACACTTCCAGGGATGGGGCAGCCACAGCTTCTCTGGGCAACCTCCTTCTCAGGGAAGTGTTTCTTCCCAACACCCCAACCTAACCCTCCCCTCCTTCTCCCCAGAGCCATCACTCCAAGGCTGAGGGAGCAGCTGGGAGGTGGTTCCAGGGCTCCATCTCCTCGGGAGAGCATCTCCCTGCCCATCAGGCTCTGCCCCAGCTCCTTCTTTCCCCCAACCCCGTGTTCTGTCTTGCAGAGATCGACCAGGGCAGCTGCGGCGATCCCGGCATCCCGGCCTACGGACGCAGAGAGGGCTCCACCTTCCGCCACGGGGACAGCCTGACCTTCGAGTGCCAGCCTGCCTTCGAGCTCAAGGGCCAGAGAACCATAACCTGCCAAAAGAGCAGCCAGTGGTCTGCTCAGAAACCTGTGTGTGTGTGTAAGTCAGGGAGGAGGCGGCTCCGGAGCATCGCCCGTGTGTGTGTGTGAGCTGGTGCTGGGGGACAGGGGGGTGCTCTGAGCTCTGCCAGGGGCACAGATGGCACCAAGGGGCATCTGCACCCAGCTGAAGGCTCGGGGAGAGCTTGGTTGGGCTCCTTCCTGGGCAGGGGAGGGATGAGGAGCATGGAGCAGTGGCTGGACTGTGCTGGGACCGTGTGCTCTCCCTGCTCTGCCCTCCCACTGCCCTGCCTCAGGTCCCTTCCAGGTCCCTTCCCTTCTCCAGCTGGAGATCCAGGCTGTGCTGGGACCAGGTGCTCTCCCTGCCCTGCCTTGGGTCCCTTCCCTTCTCCAGCTGGAGATTTGGGCTGTGCTGGGGCTGTGTGCTCTCCCTGCCCTTCCTCAGGTCCCTTCCAGGTCCCTTCCCTTCTCCAGCTGGAGATTTGGGCTGTGCTGGGACCAAGTGCTTTCCCTGCCCTGCCTTGGGTCCCTTCCCTTCTCCACCTGGAGATTTGGGCTGTGCTGGGACTGTGTGCTCTCCCTGCCCGGCCTCAGGTCCCTTCCAGAGAGAAATCTGAGCTTTGGTGTCCGAGGCAGGACACACAGACACAACCAAAACCATAATTTAAACCCTAACTCTGTTTTTGCCATTGAATTTCCCTTCCTTGTCTGACTGTGCCCTGGGTCTGTGATTTGTTGCCCGAGCTCTCAGCAGAGCTGGGATGTTTTGCTCTCCACAGTGGCTCAGGGGGTAACATTTTGGGATGTAAATGGGAGTTACTGCACAGTCCCTGGTGGGTTTTAATGGTCCTTTGAAGATGTACTGGGCAATCTGCTTTATTGCCCTGACAGAACCTTCACACACACACACAGTGTGGGGGTTTGGGCAGTGCCAAAACTCACAGGAGTGTCTTTGTTTTCCCCAGTTGGTCACAAGCAAAGCCTTCCTTTTGTCTCATCTCTAATTAGGGGGATATGTTCCAATCTGTGCCTTTGAGCAGGTTCTGTGGTGCAGGGGAGGAAGCAAAAAAACAGGAGAGGAAAATGCAGTGGGGGAAAACAGAGAGAAAGCAGAAATGTTACTTTTTAGCAGTGTGAAAGGTAAATAAATCTATTTACTGTGCAGGTAAATAGGTGTGCTGGGATAGAGCCCAGGGAAAATGCTCCTTTGGAGCAGAGATGACAGAGCTGGGGGAGCAAACCTGGCTCCTGCAGAGCTCAGCTGGGGCTTGGAGAGCTCTGGGACAACGGGAGGTCGTGGAAAAAAGGGGAAAACTGGTTCCAAGGAAGTGCCTTTCTTTTCAAACACTGATTTAAAGCTCTGAGAAATGTCTTTTTGGTCAAAGGAAGCAATTCCTGTGTGAGTTCTGCCTTTTCCAGGTGCCGTCACCCCCAAAATTCCTGTTTGCTCTGCTCTGTAAGCAAATCAGGCTGAAGATGCTGGGGAGGAAATTGGGATTTTTTTCCTGGTTAACTGTGGAGTGGGAAGGGTCAGACTGTTTCTGTGCTTAGATCAGGAGTCACTGGTTTTTTTCTTTTCGTTTCCTGGACTTTCAGGTGACTTTGAACAGCTCATGGTTTGCTCAAGGCTCGTGCTGATGGTTTGTGGTGGGAGTAAACCTGTAGTTTGTGGCCAAGATGAAACAATTGGGTTTTATTAGTACAGAAGGGAGACTCTCCAGTAAAACAGGATTATTTTTATGGGTAGATACCGATCAAGGGCATCAAATCAACCCCCAACCAACAGTCCATGCAAAGCATTATTTTAGTTCAAAAAATTCCAGCGTGTTCTTCTCTCTGTGACTCTCCAGCTTTGGATATTTATGAACCAGTGACCCCAAAAATGTGCAGTGCTGGGGGTGGGGGGTGTGTGCTGAGCCTGGGGGTGACTCTGGGCAGTGTCTGGGGCTGTTTGCTCCTGTGTGGGATGTGGGTGATGGCTGGACACTGCAAACCTGGACACTCCAAACCTGGACATTCCAAACCTGGACACTCCAAACCTCTCTTCCTCCCTCTCCTGCAGCATCTCGCGGCGCTCGGATCAGCTTTTTTGACTCTTAAAAATGGGATTTCCAGCATCAGAGGAGGGAGGGGTGTCTCAGGCCAGGGCAGTTCTCACCCCCAGCACCCCCCCAGCCGTTGTTTTCCTACAGAGCTCGTTCCCTTTTCTCTCATGACACCACAATGTGCTGGGGAGGGGGGATGTCACTGAGGGAAAACTGTGCTGACTCTGGGGAGGTTTGTGGGATGTGACATTCCAGCTGAAATCTGCACTGACCTGTGCCTGAGGAGGTCATTAAGCTCATAAATGGGGCAGCAGCCCCATAACTGCAGCTCTAGGGTGGCTCAGTCCCTGTGGGGAGTGGTGGTGGAAGGCTGGGGGGCCATAATTCCAGATACTGGGTGGGAATTGCTGCTTAAACATCCTCGTGTACAGTAGGGATGGGTTCATTATCTGATTTTATGTGAAATACAGCAGGGGAAGGAAGGCCCTGCTGCAGAACATTTATGACCAGGATTTGTTCCAGAATTTGGGTTTCCTTGCCAAGGAGAGGGAGATGCTCTCACAGGGTTTCTGCAGGTTCTTTGCTCTTCTTCCCCAGCAGTTTCCCTTCCTTTCTGCTCCTCCTGCTGCCTATCCCTGGGGATCTGTGTCCTGCAGCTCCTGAGCTTTCAGTCCTGCCCCTTTCCCAGGGGGGGAATTGTACACCATGGAGGGTTGTGGCATGAACTGTTGTGACACTGAATGTCACTGGAAGCACCTCACTGAGCCAGGCAAACTTTTGGCCCTGGTTTAGCTGTTTCTTTAGGGGGGTCATTCCAGAAAACACCTGATTTTCTGGTGCCTGTTCAGTTGGTGCACCTCAGACCTGTGAACTCCAAGGTTTCTGGACCCGTCGTGTTCCCCAGGGAAATGAACCCCTGGGAGATAAAACAAACAAACCTCTGTGTTTTGTGAGTCCAAACAAGAGGGGTGGAGGTTCCTGCCCCGAGTTTGGCGTTGCTGGGGATGGGGATAAACTCGTGTTTGTGCCTGTGTGTGTTTGACTGGAGGGGCCTGAATTTGGGCTGGGCTGTTCCAGGACACTTCTGGACTCCTCCAGTGATCTGCTCTTGCTCTTGCTCTGCTCTTGCTTTGGCATCTCCATTAGTTTCCAGTGGTTTTCCTTTGGTTGTGTTGCTGTGAACTCTGTGTATTCCTGCTCAGAGCAGTGCTCATGCCTAATATTCCCCCTGAACAGAACAGAAGACATTTCCCAGAGCATTTCCAATTGGAATTATGTTAAATTGTGTGCTTTCTTCCCCGGCCCTGGAGCAGATGTTGTGCTTTCTTCCCCTCTTGTTCACTTGAAATCCTCAGCCACAGCCCATTTCTCCTCACAGATCCACTCACGTTGCTTTCCAGTCTTTTAATATCTGATTTTCCTTAACAGCAGTTTAAAATCTCTCTTCTCCTCAGTCATAACTACTCCTTTTTTATTTTATTAATCCCATACTGACCTGTCAGACCTGCTGAACAACCTGAGCTGCCCTTTGTAAGGATTGCAGCCTCCAGTGTGGAGCTGAGCTCTGCCTTCTGGGAGCCCTGGCTGGGCCAAACCATCAGGGCTGGGACCTGGAAATGCAAAGTGCAGTGGATGTTTTCCCCAGGAATGTACTGAACAGAACTGTGTCATTCATATCACTTGACAAGGTTGTCATTTAGCTCTAAATTGAGTTGGCAATTGGTCTTTATTTTCTCCCTCTCTCTTTCTTCTTCTCCTTTATCCCCTTTCCTCCTTCTCCCTTTCCCTTCTCCCTTTCATATTATTCCTTTTACTCCCTCTCTGTGCAGAGCTGATGGAACAGTTTATATCAACTCCCCAGATGTTTCTCCCTCCTGCTGTAAATGGTTTCTTTCTCCCCTTTCTGCCACTGGACTTATTTCCCTGCCTGTCAATGCTGCTGCTTTTAGTGGGTTTTGGAAGGAGTGCAGGAATTCTAGTCCTTGTTATTCCAGGCTGTTTTGTCATGTGGATTTTTTTTTTAGTTGTGATTGATGCTGCTCCCATTTTCCTGGTGTAATGGCAGGGACACCCTGGGATTATCTGGGACAGGGGATGGGGGCCGACCTTACCCTGCCCAAATGTGTCACCTCTGGGCACAGGGCAGGGCACAGGTTCCATCCCAGCTGGAACCCTTCCAGGACATGGATTTGTCACCTGCTGAGGCCAATTCCTGCCTTGGATGGTTCCTGCAGTTGTTCATCAGCTGTAAATCCACGAGGACCCACCAACACCTTCCCCCTGCCCTCGACCCCGAGGGGTTCAGAGCAGCAAAGGGCTGGGGAAATGCTCCTTATCCAGCCTTGTTCCCCTGAGCCAGAGATCCAGGGTGTCCCTGCAGTCAGGGAAGCAAATTAAATGAAGGCAGGATTACCCTGATCTCTGTTTCCATGGGGGATTTGTAGCTTTTGTTAACAGCCTTGTTTCACGCTTGCAGCCATGTAAGACCGTTCCCCTCCTGATTTTAAGCAGGGCACTCTCTCTCAGAGCCCTTGTTCTGCAGCCCTGGTTTAGAAAAGGGCTGAGATTTAAATGTTTGCTTAAGCAGACAGACGTGCTAAAGTGCTGTGCTGGGCAGGAATCACTTCAGCTCCTTCTTAATGATGAGCAATCGGGTTGTAATTGTCCCCCATGAGCTCCTCAGGCTGGTTTTTTTTTGGTGTAACCTCACTGGAGCCAGGCAAACTTTTGGCCCTGGTTTAGCTGTTGCTGGGGGGGGGTCATTCCAGAAAACACCTGATTTTCTGGTGCCTGTTTGGTTGGTGCACCTCAGACCTGTGAACTCCAAGGTTTCTGGACCCGTCGTGTTCCCCAGGGGAATGAACCCCTGGGAGATAAAACAACTAAAACTCTGTGTTTTGTGAGCCCAAACAAGTCCCTTACCCTTTGTGGGACTGTGAGAGGGCTGTGGAACCAGTCCCTGCTCCTCTTCCTTGGGGCTTGTCCCAAATAAGCTGCACATCCTCCAGCATCCCTCTTGTCAGGTGAGTTGGGAGGTGTCCCTGGTGTGTCTGAGGAGAGCTGGCACTGCCCTGGCACAAACCAGAGCCTGGTTTCTCCTCATTGTTCCTTTACCAGCAAGTTCTTCCTCCAGTTGTAGAGCCACAAGCTGCTCTGGGAGCTGGGATGAATTTGGGGGGTTTTGGGGTCCTCAGCAGGGGACAGAGCTGGGCTGGGGGGTGTCCCCTCTGTGCCCACCCTCCCCTGGGTGCTGCCAGCTGCCCTCTCAGCCCTCAGGATGCAGGATGCAGTTCCTTGGGTTGGCTCCACGCTGTTATTTCCCTGATTGAACCGGTGCAACTGGTCCCCTGGGGGGGTTTTGTGCTGCTCCTCTGCCAGGGCATCTGTCCCTGTTCCTGGCAGCAATTGCTCTGCAGGGTGGCTCTGATGGGCTGCTCCTCTTCCCTGGATCTGAACTGGCACTTCTCTGGCTTTGTCAAGACAGGAGATTGTCCCTGTCCCCTCCCCTGTGTCCAGGAGGTGGGATATGGGGTGTGTTGTGTTGCCATCCCCAATCTGGGCTGCAGAGAAGCCCCCTTGTTTAATCCAACCCTCTCCACGTGGGGTTGGAGTTTGAGGAGGCTGCAGTGGGACACTCCCAGCTCACAGATGGAGCTGTTGGGTGGGAGTTTGTCTTCAGGAGGTTTAATTGTTTTCCTGGGAATTGCAGCCTGGTTGGAGGCCTCTTTTTGGGAATGTGGCTGTCCCAGCAGAAGTCAGTGATTTATTTGTGATGGGAAGAGGATTTTCCCCCTCCCCCTGGGCTGCAGGTTGCTGGGAGTTGTCCCAACCCCCTGGCACTGGGGGGGAAACTTGGGAATGTTCTTGGGCTGCTCCTCCAAAACCTTCATTTCTCAGTGCTCACTCATGTCCAAAGAGCTGCCCAAGGACATAAATTGGCTCATGGCTCCTTCTCAAAGAACTCAGCAATTTATTGCTGGACCCCAGAAATATTTAATGCAGGATGCAATGACACTTCCCTGGCTTTGTCAGGACAGGAGATTGTCCCTGTCCCCTTCCCCTGTATCCAGAAGGTGGGATATGGGGTGTGTTGTGTTGCCATCCCCAATCTGGGCTGCAGAGGAGCTCCCTTTCATCCTTCTCGACTTCCTGCTGTGCCAGCCCAGTTCAGCCCTTCCACCAGAGTGAAATGAAGAGTTTGTTGCTCTGAAATCCAAGAAATCATGGTTAATATTTGCTCTAAACTCCTTCTTTCACCTCCCACTTGCCGGAGGGTTTGGAGGAGGGAAATGCATCGTGGTGCAGATGTGTTTCTGCAGACACAGAAAGAGGAAAATGCAGAATATAAAGCACTTTGCTTCCCAGCTGGAGCAGTGCCCTGGGCTCCCAGCACTGGCAGCTCTTTGGGATGTGTGCTTCCCAAGTGAGGAATGCTGCTGATTAACCAGGCTCCTGCTGAGCTCCCGTTTTTCCACTCCATCACCAAGCTGTGCCTAGAGCAGGGATCTTCTTCAAAAGGGAAGGGAAGGAGAAAATCCACTCCTGTCTCCAAGCTCTCTCCCAAGTGGTCACAGTCTGTGGGAACAATATCTTAAAAAACTGAGAGAGAAGTCAGGAGTTTTTATTGTTTCCATGGAGACTGCAGTTATTCCAGTGGTTTCCTGCTGGGTTTTCCAGCTCCTGTTCCCACGGTGTGACCTCTCCCTGGGGTCAGCCCTGGATCCTCACATGCAGGATGAGCAGGGCTGGAGGGTCTGGGGACACTCAGAGGAGGAGAGAGGTGGTTTGTGGAGGAGCTGGATCTTTGGGAGGCAGAATAAAAGAGGAACAACTTGGGAGAGAGAAGATTTGGGTGAGACAACTGCGGGAATTGCTCCTGATGGAGGTGCTGGTGGAGAACTCTTGGATTCCCCTGTGTCAGCCCAGCCTCAGGCATCACCCCCAGGGACATGGGGCAGTGTCCCTGTGCCACATCCAGCTCTCCCACTCGACTTCCTGAGCTGTTCCTTTGCTGTTTTCCTGCTCTAAATCAAGGCAGAACCTGGATGTTGGTTGTGATGACTTGAACAAATCCCCTGTGCTGGGCCCTTCCTGCCTGTGCTCTCTGCTCTGTCCCTGCTGGCTTCTGCTGGGATTTATTCTGCTGCATTTAATGAAGGCATTTTTCTTATTGCCTTTGCAGTGCTTGGTCAGTAATAACAATTATTGACAAAGATCAGTGCGGGCTTAGAAACGGGACCCTCATAATGAAATGTCCTTTTCTAACATTTAAGAACGAGGGTAATAAATATTAATTCCAGGCTCTGGAGGTTCTCAGGGCCAGGGCTGTTCCAGGCTCAGGGATCCTGATGGACAAGCTGCAGGCAGCAGGGCTGACCCCTGTCATGTTGGGAATCACTGCTGGCTCCTCGGGGGCTCTTTGTTCCTCGCTGCCTCAGCAGCACAAACAGCACGAGCCAGGCAGTGCTGGGCTGTCTCCCACCTTTCCTGGCTCCAATCCTCCCTCTGACAGCTCTTCTCCCTGGCTGTGACATGTTGTTAAACAGCTCCTGGTGTCCAGCACTGCAGAGATGCTGCTGTGCATCCCAGCCCTGCCCAGTGCAGCCCCAGAGCTGAAACGTCTCCTCACAGGGAAGAAAAACCCCCTCAGCTTAAAAAGAGGAAGGAAATTGTCCTATCACAGGCACCAGGATCTCCTTGAGGAACCCTCTGGACCATCCTGGGCTGGATGTTCCCCTTGGGAAGGTGAAGCCAAGCTCCCCTTCCCACCAAGGAGAGCTTGGACCTGGTTCCTGGCCTTTGTCCTGCAGCTCCAACTTGCATTTCTGATCTTATGGCAACTCCAAATCCTCATTTGCTCCTCTGCAGTGGAGACTTTGGGAGTTTTGGGGGTTTTTTTGTTTTTTTTTTTTTATCAGCTCCTTTTTAATCTGTCACTTTGTTTTATCTAGCAAAGGTTAATTTTATATTCTTCCCTCGCCCTGCCTCTGCCTTCCCTTTGTCAGCAAGTTCTTTGTTGTTGTTATTTTGTGAGCTGAGCTGTGCCTGCACCTCTCTCTGCCTGGCTGTGGGATGCTGGAGGTCCTCTGGCTGAATGCTAATTTACCACTTGGGGTTTAAAAATTTATAGGAGACCCCTCGTTCCTGGGAGGGGTTCCTGCCACTCAGATGTTTCCCTGGGTGTGAATGCATTTCTTCCCAATATTTCTTAGGCAGATTATACCCTGCTTATGCTGACAGAATTATTTGACAGCATCCCCTGATAGTTCAGCTTCTTGTAAAGAGCCCAAATCCTGAGGATATTTTGCAGTTTGTTTTCTTTCTAATCTATTCCCTTTGTTGCTGGGAGCAGGAAATAGATGGTGTGGCCTTGATAACGTCATGGCAACGTCCATTTATTGGATCCCAACCCATCCAGTGTTGAAGGAAGGCAGAAGGGAAAATAACAGAGGGAGGGCTGAGCAGTGATCCAAATAATTGTATAAATGCCAAACTCAACCCAGGCTCATCCTCTGCTCGATGTCCCTTTGCCAGGAATTAGGGAGATGTATGTTCCCAGTAATGGGTTTTACCAAGGGTGATGGGGGGGAAAAAAAGATGAGCAGAGCATCCATACATAAAATATCCCAAACTCTGGGCAGGTACCACTTGAGAGGCAGCCTTGCTTTTCCAGGTTAATGGGCCTTGTCAGCTGCAATACAGTATATATTGAAAACCCTGGAGGGCTGAAGGGTTTTTTTCCTACACACTCTTCCCCTCGACTCCACTTAAGGAGGTTTAATTGTTTTCCTGGGATTTGCAGCCTGGTTGGAGGCCTCTTTTTGTCCCAGCAAAAGTCAGTGCAAATTCCCAACTTTGGTTTTATTTTGGTTTTATTTTGATTCCAACTTTGATTTTATTTTGATTCCAGCGTTGATTTTATTTTGATTCCAACTTTTATTTTATTTTGGTTTTATTTTGATTCCAGCTTTTATTTGATTTTGATTTTATTTTGATTCCAACTTTGACTTTATTTGGATTTTATTTGGATTCCAACTTTGATTTTATTTTGTTTTCATTTTGATTCCCCAAGACCCTCCCGTACACCGTGTCCTGCAGGGCTAATTGGGAGTGTTAACACCTCATCCCTCTGGAAGATGTTTTCCCAGCAGGAAGTGCCTCCCTGCCTGGGACAGGAGAGCTCCTGTGGATGCCAGACCTGCTGGCAGGACTCTCTACACTTGCCTTTTGCTGCATAAAGTGTTTCTAACAACATTTGGACACGTGAAACCATCCTTGGTCGCCAGATATTTTTCCCCAAGTGATTTTTCTTTTAATTTACCTTCAGGTCTCGGCAGCTGGGAATTCATGGGGAATCTCCCAGCTCCAGGGATTAGGTGTTGCAGGATTCAAATTGTGTGAACAATTCCTATTGCATTTCTGTAGGCCTTGCTTGACATGACTTTAGAAGTTGTAAGCTGTAATGTTTATACTTATAGACTGTGTGAAAATATGCAATGTTTATACTTGTTAGCTGTGTGTCTAATTATAAGGTTTGAGAACATAGTATGTTTAGAGCAAGAAAGCCTTGAGAAAGTATAGATAAGGGTGCACCTGCAGATTTCAGAAAGCCCCTAATTATGAAGGCCTCTACATGCCAAGTCTGATGTCAGACCATGTGGACAGAACATCAGGTCAAGTGAACTGGAGACATGAGACACGTGCACAGACTGAGCTCTCCAATCACCTTGTTGTAAGCATGTGCCCAAACCAAACTAAACTGTATAAAAGTTGACTTAATTAAATACTAAATTGAACATATGGCTGACCACATTGGCCTGTATGCTTTATGTTCATGCCCCTCCCTCGATAATTAGGGGCACTAATTAGGGGGTGTGTGGGGTCACTGTGCTGCCTGGTTGATGGTTTGGGGGTTTGTTTTTTTTTGCAGTTTCCTGCTTTTTCAACTTCACCAGCCCGGCGGGGATCGTGCTGTCCCCCAACTACCCCGAGGAGTACGGCAGCAGCCTGCACTGCGTGTGGCTCATCATTGCCAAGCCCGAGAGCAGGATCCACCTGGCCTTCAATGACTTTGATGTGGAGCCCCAGTTCGATTTCCTGGCCGTGAAGGACGGCGGCACCGCCGAGTCCCCGGTGCTGGGCACCTTCTCAGGGAACCAGATCCCCTCCTCCCTGACCAGCAGCGGCCACGTGGCCAGGCTGGAGTTCCAGACCGACCACTCCATGGAGAAGAGAGGCTTCAACATCACCTTCACCAGTGAGTTTGCCCCCTTTTTTATTAATATTAAGTTGTTCTTCCTCGTAACGTTTTAATTAATTTGCATTTGAGTTGGCACAAAGGCAGCACACCCTGCCAGCATATCCTCTGTGTGGGATGAAGGAATCCCAACCACACACCCGAGTCAAAAAAGGTGGTTTCTTCTCCTCTCTGAGGCCACAGGAACACCCTAAATGCAGAGAAAGATAATGGCTGTGAAAATGTGGAAATCTTACAGTGTAAGGAATAGATAAACAGGTTTTAATCTCTCTCAAGCTGAAGCAGCAGAAAAATGAATCTGCCTAGCACAAGAGCCTTGATGGACAATCAAGGATGATATCATAGAATCATAGAATATGCTGAGATGGAAGGACCCATGAGGATCATCAAGTCCAACTCCTGGCCCTGCACAGGATTTGCTGACAAGTGTCTTGCTGAGGACCCAAATGCTGAAATGTCCTCTGCAAACCCCCCTGGTTTGCATTTCACCCTCTGAATTCTTGCTGGGAACTGGTGGGCGAGAGGTTGAGCTCACTAAAGCTGTTGGGATTCCAGAGGAAATCTGGAAAAGTGGGGATTACCTCAGGTTTGCAGTCGGGTAATTGGGGGATTGGTGGCAAGCTTAGAGCTGGTGGCACAGGTTCTTCCTGGCTGTGAAGTGTTGTCCAGGAAAAAAACAATAATAAATATACCAAATATAAACCAATAATAAATATAACCAATAATAAATATAACCAATAATAAATAAACCAATCTGGCCCTGGGTTATGTGTCCCTGGAGCAGGATTTATGTTCTCCCATCAGGGCTTGCTGTGTCCATGGGTTTACAAGAAGGCTGGACAGGGACTTTGGACAACACCCCCCTCCTCTGCTGACAGCTAAAAGAGCTGCAAGGCTTTGAAGATGAAGGCAAACATGTAGCACTGCCTTATATATAACATAAAGCCATGAAATTTCCACAGATGGATTTGGCTCCACTGTTAAAGTCCAGTCTTCAAATCTCCAGTGAATGCCACGGCAATTTTACCCTCATATTGTCCTGTAATTTTCTAAAGAGCATTATTAAACCTATTCAGCAGAACTGATAAATGGCTTTGTTATAATGGCCTTTCGTGGCACAGCTAAATTAATAGCCTTTCTAGCCATGATTGCAAAGCCTTTATTTAAAAAAAAAATAAAAAAAGGGAAAAATCAGAGGGCTTAAGAAAACATTTGCCCAACTTCAGCAGGCTGGAGGCTCCTCAGGTGAAGGAGTTTGTGTGAGGGGGTATCAGAGCCAGGATTGAGCCCCAGATCCTGTCAGGAGAGGGACACCTCACCCAGGAACTGTGTATCTCCCTGTGTATCTCCCACCCATCACCCACCCCTGGTGGGAGTTGGGGCTGTCCCCTGCTTAAAGACATTTTTAAAACAATTTTTACTGGTGTAAATGGCTCTCGAGCACAGAGGAATTGATTTGTTCTGACTGCTTGGAGTTCTGAACTGAGCTCTATCTCTATTTTGAGTACTTATAAATATATATATGTATATATATGTGTGTGTTTTCATATTTGGAGATGTCTGAGGAGGTGACTTGGTCCTGCAGGCTCTTCTCTGGCCCTGTCACTGCTGGATCTCAGCCCCTCTTGGGTCATGATCATCATCATCATCATCATCATGGCCAGGCTTCCCGAAGGAAGATTTGGGGAGGGCTCAACTGGTTTTAACCTCATCCCTCCCCTCAGGCTGCAAAGAAAACACTTGGGAACTGAAAAAAATTAACTTTGACGTTCAACCAGCTTGTTTTTGGGGCAGGAGTGGAGGGAAACGAGGCACTGACCCTTCCCTTGCCTCCCTTTTTCCCCCCTCTCAGCGTTCCGGCACAACGAGTGTCCCGACCCCGGCGTGCCGGTCAACGGGAAGCGTTTTGGGGACAGCCTCCAGCTGGGCAGCTCCGTGTCCTTCCTGTGTGACGAGGGTTTCATCCGCACCCACGGCTCCGAGACCGTCACCTGCGTCCTGCAGGAGGGGAACGTGGTGTGGAACCACCCCGTGCTCAGGTGTGAAGGTCAGTGCGGCCGCTCGGAGGGTCCCCCGGGGTGGTTTGGGCCGGGAGGGAGCTCAGAGAGCATCCAGTGCCACCCCCTGCCCTGGGCAGGGACGCCTTCCACTAGCCCAGGTTGCTCCAAGCTGGCCTTGGACACTTGCAGGGATGGGGCAGCCACAGCTTCTCTGGGCAACCTGTGCCAGGGCCTCCCCACCCTCCCAGGGAAGAGTTTCTCCTCAACATCCCACCCAAATCATAGAATCATGGAATCAGCTGGGTTGGAAGGGACCTCCAAGATCATCAAGTCCAACCCTTGATCCAACCCCGCCGTGGTTCCCAGCCCATGACACTGATGCCACATCCAGTCTCAGCTTAAAAACCTCCAGGGATGGAGAATCCACCACTTCCCTGGGCAGCCCATTCCAATGGCTGATCACCCTCTCTGGAAAGAAATTCTTTCTAATATCCAACCTAAACCTCCCCTGGCACAGCTGAAGACCCTGAGCCCTCTTGTCTTGCTGAGAGTTGCCTGGGAAAAGAGACCAACCCCCCCCTGGCTCCCCCCTCCTGTCAGGGAGTTGCAGAGAGTGAGGAGGTCTCCCCTGAGCCTCCTCTTCTCCAGGCTGAACAGCCCCAGCTCCCTCAGCCTCTCCTCACAGCACTTGTGCTCCAGTCCCTTCCCCAGCCTCGTTGCTCTCCTCTGGACCTGCTCCAGGACCTCAATGTCCTTCCTGAGCTGAGGGCCCAGAGCTGGACACAGCACTCCAGGGGTGGCCTCACCAGTGCTGAGTCCAGGGGCAGAATCACTTCCTTGGCCCTGTTGGCCACACTGTTCCTGAGCCAGGCCAGGATCCATTGGCCTTCTTGCCCCCCTGGGCACACTCTGGCTCATGTTCAGCTTCCTGTAGCTCCATCTCTTGTCCCAGGTCCTTCTCCAGCTCTCCTGGAGCCCCTTTAGGCCCTGGAAGGGGCTCTCAGCTCTCCCTGGAGCCTTCTCTTCTCCAGGTGAACATTCCCAGCTCTCCCAGCCTGGCTCCAGAGCAGAGGGGCTCCAGCCCTGGAGCACAAGTGCTGTGAGGAGAGGCTGCAGCCTTTTGGGATCAGGGATCACAGCTCTGCCTGTCACATATCCCATAGTGAGGGTGTCCAGGATTTTCCCTGGCTCTGGAAGGTGTTGTCTCTGCACAGCAGAGTTTCCTCAGCAGGAAGTGCCAGTCCAATAATAACAACCTCAGTTTGTTTTCCAGGTTTTTTTTTTTTTTTTTTGGGAAGCGAACACCAGGGGTTTACTTTTATTGCTCAGTTCTTGTTACAACAGGTGTTTTTTTCTAATAACAGGAGTAAAAGGTTGTGATTTAGGGATGGCTGGAAGGTCCCCTGCTGCTCTTGTCACGAGGGAATTAAACAACAGGCAATGGAAGATCCGTGGTGGTGTTTCTGTGTCCTGATTTTTTGAGACATGTAAAATGTAGGATATTTATATAATGAAGGAAGTCCTGTCAGTGGACTTTGGGCAGTTGAGAGCCTGAAATTTTGCATTCACATCTCTTGGCCACCACAGCCGACCCAGAGGTGGGGGAGATGGGCTGAATTAAAGGCCCTAATACAGATTTCAAAGCTTTTTTCAGTCCTTTAAAGCTTCTACTCCGGAAAAAGAGAAGGGAAGAAAGAGCTCATTAGGAGTGGAAAGTCTTCCTCTGCCCTCTGTTCTCAGGGAAGTGATGCCCTGCACTGGTGTTTTCAGCAATTTGAGTAACAAGTGCTGTGCTCTTGAGAAATAGCCCTGGAATATTGAGCAGTAATTTCAGTAATTGTCATGTGTTGCTCGAGTGGAAGAGCAGCAGAAATTGCACAAATCTTGCCCATTGTGTTTGAGATGGAAAGAAGAAGGTGTCAATTGTGTTCAACAAGTTTTATATAATAAGAAAACCGGAGTTTTTAATGTTCTTATATAATTTTTCTTCTGCTGACAAAAGGTAGATTTAATTCAGGGTTCCCATTACTTTCAAAGCACGAGCCTTTAAGTTTATGTATTTTTAAGTATAGACAGGAGACATACATTAAATAATACACTTTTAATCAACTTTTCTCTTTGGAAGTTTTGATAACCTTATGCCATTAACTTGTGCCTTTTCCTCTTGATCACAGTGGTGAGTTCTTTGACTCGCCCTTCAGTCTGCACTGGATAAGTGGACATTTTAATTACCCTTTTTAAACAAGGAGGAAGCACAGAGATCTAAAGTCCTGTTTAGCACTTGAAAAAAATTTAATGGGAAAGAAAGAGACCTAAAAAAAAAAAGAGTTGAAAGATGGGGAGAAGCCCTGACAGGAGATGATGTGGCTCTGGGGCAGAAAGGAGCCTCTCGTTCAGAAATAATTGCTTTGGATCCAGTTGAGATCAAATGACTTTCATCTGCCTCCTTCCCATCAGCAGGGGAGGGGGGTTTAGGCCCAGACTGACATATTTTGGGTCACTCCCAGGGTGACATTGGGTGGCCCTTGGGCTGGCCTTGGGTTGGTGCTTCAGCAGCTGCTCCTCAGAGCTGGTCCCACAGGCCCCAAGGACAGTTTTTGAGGGCTGTGGGATTTTTCCACCTCTGGTCCATCAGCTCCAGTGTCTTTTTTTTTTTATTTTGCCCCCAGAAAATATAATAATAATATACCTTCAGCTTCTGCTGGTGGCACGAGGGACCATGGCGTGGAATAAATGCTGTGGTCTGGTGATGTCCCTCGTGGTAGAAAAGCCATGACTCAATTACCACAGATACAGGAAAGGATTTTCTGGCACCTGCAGCTGCTGAAATGCAAACTGACCTTGCAGATTCCTCTGCTTTTATATCTAATAATTATTATTACACCCTGGCCCCTCAGAGCCACTGCTCAAGGTCAGGCTGCTGGCTCCCCCAGGGACAGGAGCAGATTACTGTGTCTTCATTCTAAGCTGAAAAGGCAATTTTTTACCAGTTACTGTTGGTGTTTCTGATTATTTTTAACAGGTGGGAGACAGCAGTGCATGAAAGCTTTGCATGGCAGGGTGGTCCTGCCTTGGCAGGGGTGGAACATCTGATGGTGCTGCAGCTTCTGTGATGCTCTTCAGCCAAATTTAAACACGTGCAGACGTGGCACTGAGAGACATGTTTTTTTTATAATATCGAGAGGTTTTTTTCCAGCCTCAGCGACTCTGTGGTGGCTGATTGTGTGAATTGTGCCATTTCCTTGTCCCCAGCACCCTGTGGTGGCCACCTGACGTCGCCCAGCGGCACCATCCTGTCCCCTGGCTGGCCTGGCTTCTACAAGGACTCGCTGAGCTGTGCCTGGGTCATCGAGGCCCAGCCTGGCTACCCCATCAAGATCACCTTTGACAGGTGCTCCTCCAAACTCCCTCTCTGGGGCTGTTCTGGGGGGTTCCCGGGGGGGTTGAGGTGCAGCCAAGACGAGGAACGAGCTGCTCCGCGCGTGTCTGGCACTGAGGTTCTCTCCTTCCCTTTTTTATTTATCAAACTGACAAGGCATTAAAATTCACCTGACATTCAAGCAGAAAGGATGGGAAACAGTGATTTTCCCCCTGTTTTGACTCACTCCTGCTCCTCTGCAGTGTTATTTTAGGCACGGGTAGGACACGTTTTCGGAGGCTGAGCCTCCCACGTGTTCCTGGGGGAGCAGCACCGGGGAGGATCCGCTCCAGGCTTGGGAATGCTCAGTCTCTTGGCTTCCCCTGGATTGCACAGCTGGAGGAGGGGCCGTGCTCTCCTGACTCCTGTGTCTGGGAGGGGATTGTTGGTACAAAGACTGGTCGGTGTCAGCAGATGAGGGAGGTGAGGGGTCAGCAAGAAACACGGGACTGACGGGCTCCGGGGAGATGCTCAGGCAGGAGGAAGGCCCCCACCTCTCCCCCCGTGGCCTGTGCTGCCTCCTGGGAGTTGTTCCAGCTCCCTCAGGGCTGCAGTTCAGCAAACTGAGCCCCGTGGGGTGTTCAGTGCCTCCGTGGCCCTTCCAGGTTCAAGACGGAGGTGAACTACGACACGCTGGAAGTGCGGGACGGCCGCTCCTACTCCTCCCCCCTGATCGGGGTCTACGACGGGACCCAGGTGCCCCAGTTCCTCATCAGCACCAGCAACTACCTCTACCTCCTGTTCACCACTGACAAGAGCCACTCTGACATCGGCTTTCAGATCCGATACGAAAGTGAGTGCGGGTCCTTGGGGTCATTCCATGTCATTCCATGTTTTCCAGCAGCGCACTGGCCTCAGTCAGGGGCTCCTTGGATCTCCTTTCCCTCTGTGCCAGGCAGTTCTCACTGCTCAAGGGCTGGGGAGGGAGAAGCTGCGCTGCTTTGGGCCAGTGAAGGAGCATTTTCTGCCTTTTCTGGAATCCCAGGATGGTTTGGGTGGGAAGGGACCTCAAAGCTCACCTTGTTCTAACCCCTTGTTGTGGATAAGGGGCACCTCCCACCAGCCCAGGTTGCTCAGAGCCCCATCCAACCTGGCCTTGGGCACTTCCAGGGCTGGGGAGTCCACAACCATCGACCAACTTGGCCGTTTATATAGAGCTTTTCAGTTTTTATTTTAGCATCTGCAGAACATCACTGATTTTAGGAGGCAGGGGTGAGTTCCCAGAATCCCAGAGCATCCTGCCGTAGATCCCACACGGATCATCAAATCCAGCTCCCGGCCCCAAGAATCCCACCAGTTCCTCTCTCTGTTCCATCTCTTGCTTTGGGGATAAATTGTAGGGTTTGGGGTGAGCTCTGGGAGGGGCTGAGCAGTGACTGAGGCTTTGTTGGCACAGCTGTGAAGCTCCAGTCCGACCACTGCCTGGATCCCGGGATCCCGGTGAACGGGCAGCGCCACGGGAACGATTTCTACGTGGGAGCCCTGGTGACCTTCAGCTGTGACTCAGGATACACCCTGAGTGACAACGAGGCCCTGGAGTGTGAGCCAAACTTCCAGTGGAGCCGCCCCCTGCCCAGCTGTGAGGGTAAGGACACATCTGCAGGGGGGGCAAACCCCGCCCTGGCACATCTGGGAATCTCCCAGTGACATTTGATCCGTGTGTTTGGTTTGATTTTTGGGGCATGTGCCAGAGACAAATGACTGGGAATCTCCCAGTGAAGTTTGATCCATGTATTTTGTTTGATTTTGTGGGCTTGGCTTTGTTTTGCCCTCTGGAAAAGCTGATGCCCTTGCAGGTTGTTTGAGTGGTTTCCTTCTCTCTCTGCAGCTCTCTGTGGAGGTTACATCCGTGGCTCCAGTGGCACCATCCTGTCCCCAGGCTTCCCGGATTTTTATCCCAACAACTTGAACTGCACATGGACGATAGAAACATCCCATGGAAAAGGTGAGGAGCCTCCAGCTTGGAGCAGTTTGGGAGGCCTGAAGGGTGGTGGTGAGTGGGAGAGAAGCTGCTCCCTGTGTAAACCAGGAGTTTCTCTCAGTGGTGATGCTGCCCACGGGCTTGGCCAGTTCTGCCACCACCCAACCCTTGTCTCTGGATAAGATGCAGAGGATTTTGGTGGCAGAGCTCGTCACCCTTTCAAAGTGGAGAGGATTAAGAGGAGAAGGTGGTTCTCTATCAACCACGACCTGTGGCAGGTGTCTTCTGGTTCAGACCTTTGTGGCAGCATCCTGAAAATCAGGATAGAGAGAGAGAGGGAGATCTGTAGATCCAAATGTCCTGAAATGCAGCGTTTGGATACCTGGTAATGCCAGGAATGTCCCACAGAGGAGGGAGGAGCTGCCACTGCCACCCCTGCAGGAATGTTTGATGGCCCTTTCAGGCTGATTTCCCTTTGTCACTGTCTGGGGAACATTTTAGAGCTGGAGAAGTGGGAGCACAAAGGAAATCATTCCCAGACACGGGATAGGACCTGGGCTCTCAATTCCCAGCTCTTCCTCTCCCCTTTCCTCACCACCCAGGAGTATTTCAAGTGCAGGTGTGTCCAGGCCAAACTCTTGTCTTTGAGGAAAAAATCAAGGAAAAGCATCACTGATGATCAGAGAGCAAGTTTGATGGGGGAAGGGGAGTAATTCCTCACGATCCAGCAGCATTTCCTGGGCTCACACAAAGGAATCAAAGCCTTTAGATGACTTTCTCACTCTTACATAACCCTCCTGTCGTACCCGATACCGGCACGACGGGAGGGATCATGAGCCAATTTGCCAAATTCCATTTGTATTACAGCAAATAAACTTGTCAATGAACAGCACAGTGCATTAAGGGAACCATCACACGCTGGGAAAAGTGTTCTGTGGAGTGGCTGCAATCCACTCTCCAATTAATCCACTCTGCCTGGGCTGCAGCTCTCCGGTGAGACGCCGCGTTATCCCCGAGCCCAGCTCAGCCCAGAGCCCCAAACTGGCCCTGTTTGACATGAGAAAGTGCAGCTCTGATGGCCTGGCTGCTTTCATGTCAACATCAGAGGGAATTCTTCAGGCCAAGGCTGGAAAAAAACACGGTTTTTTTCAGCTGGCAGGGACATGTGTCTGTAAATCCAGGGCTGTTTGTCCTCTGGGCTGTGGGAGATGCTGCTGGGGCTGGTTCAGGGCAGAGGGAACAGCCCAGCAGGGCAGTGTGGGGCACTCCTGGACCATCCAAAAATTCAGCCCTGGCTCTGAGCATCCTGGACTGCCCTGTGTCCCATGAAGAGCAGCTGGATATGGAGCTCTGAGAGCTGCTCCCAGCTTTTCCCAGCAATCCTGGCCAGAGCTGCAGGTGAAGGATGGCAGAGAATCCAACCAGCTGCAGTGAGAATTCCCAGCCTCTGATCAGAGTTTCAGCTCCTCTTCCCTGCTCTGCTTCAGTTCCCAGCCATTGTTCAGGAGGAGTGTTTGTTTCCCAGGGCCAGGAAAGGAGGAAATGAACAAAGGGAGTCCTTTGCTCCAGTGTTTTATGGAGCAGCTTGGAATGGGCTGTGGTGGGACTGTGTGGGTACACATCCTACACATCCCTACAACACATCCTACAGATCCTGCACATCCCTCACATCCCACACATCCCTACTACACATCCTGCAGATCCTGCACATCCCTAAACATCCCATACATCTTGCACATCCTGCACATCCCTCACATCCCACACATCCCTGCAACACATCCCTAAACATCCCACACATCCCACACATCCCACACATCCTAAACATCCCACACATCCCACACATCCTACACATCCTACACATCCCACATCCCACATCCCACACATCTTGCACATCCTACACATCCCACACATCCCTAAACATCCCACACATCCCACACATCCCACACATCCCTCCACCAGCAGTTTGAACAGTTCTGCTGCCAGCAGGGAACCCATTTACACAACCTGAGCATCCTCTGATTTTCCTTGCAGTGGTTTTCCTTTTCCCAAAGCCTCTTCTGCCCTGTCCCTGCTCACAGATCAGCTCCTGCCCCTCCACTGCCCCTTTGGCCTCTCCCAGGTTCTTCCCTCCCAGGTCTTTGGGAACATCCCACATGTGGCCAGCACACGAGTCCCTTAATTGCCCCAACTTGGCTGTTCCAACAGTTATTTTCATGTGACTGCAGACACTGAGTTACTTTATGGCCTCACAAGCTCTACAATTTGAGTTTAAAAGCAGCTTAATTTTAAAGGTATTTAAATGCTTAAAGGGAGACTATTATTTTTAATCTGAGAGCTTCAAAGTGATTTCTTCTCCCTGTAATTTGTTTTGCTGTTTCTTCTGCAGAGAACGGGAAGGGAAAAAAAAAACAAAAACCACCAACCTTGTGTTTGCAGAGACATTCTGTGCCACAGTAAATTTCAGACCAGAGCAAAGGTTTAATCGGTCACAAATCCTTTAAAATGAGTTTATAATTAGCCCTTATGGCAACAGTTCCACAGCCCTTAACTGTGCTCTCCTCGTGTGCTTGGAGGTTTTTACCTTAAAAAACCTGCAGTCAGGGGCTGTTCTCCAGCTCTGGGGGCTGAACTGTCCTGGTGTTGGGTTGATTTTTTGTGGGATGATATTATTCCTGTTCCTTAGGTTGGGTTGGGTAAAACTGAGGGTATGAATTTCCTCTCAGATGATAAACAGGCAGAATTAAAGACATTTTTGCCCTCCCCACATCTCACTCAGAGGTCAGATCTATTTTCAGTCGACTGGTAGGAGTAATAAACACTTGGAAACTATTGGAAGCTTCCTGCCTCTCTGGAGTTTTGCAGGGGGCACCAGTGGAACCAAAAATGTTCTGTCAGGCTCCATTTAATATTTACTTGAGTATGAAGAAGGAATTGTCAAAGTCAAGAGGAGCCCTTTTGCTTTGGGTCGTTCAAATCCTTCTGCCTGGGACAGGGAAGGTTATCAGGGGATAAAGTTGGGATGTCCCTGTGAGCCCTCCTGCTTCCCAGTTCCATGGGAAAGGGCTTTGTGTTGGTCTCCAGCCCCTCTGACCTCCATTTCTTGGCAGGAAACGCTTTCATGTGACCAGCAAACCTTCAAAAAGCACTTGGATAGATGGAATATTCAGTTATAAATGGAATATTCAGTTCTAATTTGATGCTGTCCAAAGCCTGTTGGGTTGGATATTAAATCTCATGCTCCAGAGCTTTTCCCCATCTCTGGGTCGGCCTCATCCCGATCTCCAGAAGTTAATGGGGAGCAAGGAGGAGACTGTTCCTCTGAGCCTTCCTTTGCAGGTGTCCTGTGGTTCCTGTGGAAGCAGGGGGGGCTGGATTTCGGGGATAGTGGGATGCAGGGCACAGCAGCTCCTCTGGCTGTGCTCGGGGCAGCCCCCGGGGTGGGAATTATTGGCTTAGATGAAATAACAGGGTAGTGGGACTGATGAGCCCCAGATTCCAGCCCTCAGAGGGTGTAGGGATGTGTGGGATGTTTAGGGATGTGAGGGATGTGCAGGATGTGCAAGATGTGTGGGATGTGTGGGATGTTTAGGGATATGTGGGATGTTTAGGGATGTTTAGGGATGTGTGGAATGTTTAGGGGTGTGTGGGATGTGTGGGATGTGCAGATTGTGCAAGATGTGTGGGATGTTTAGGGATATTTAGGGATGTGCAGGATGTGTAGTAGGGATGTGTGGGATGTGTGGGATGTTTAGGGATCTGTGGAATGTTGAGG